CCTCAACCTCCTTCGAGGCATTCAACTTCCACATTACAATCAGCTCACCTAACATGCCTATTTTGACCCTTTGACAAACAGATTATTTTCGCGACAATATGCTATACCAGAACTTTTGGGTGATTCCAAAGTGTTATTTTGCCACGCTCATCAGATCTGTGACTAAATGTACCTAAAAAATGCATAAGAATGCAGCTTACTAGGTCCTCCGTGATACCCATTTCGAGCAGCGTGGCAAGGGCACCCGTATCAACGGTAACGCCGGAAGCATTGGGGGAAGATGTGGTACCAGAGATGGGGTCGTTGAGATCAGAATCGTCCAAATGTTCCATTAGCCAGTTTGATGCAGCCTCGACGTTCGAGGCTGTCGCTAGACAGGCACGCAGACAGGCGTTGCGTGTAAAACCCATGCTCTGCAGTTGTTCCATCACGGCCTCGTCTGCTGTTGCTGCTGATTCGTGCAAGTGGTCAGTGGCCTCACCTAGCAGAAAGGAGCAAATTAGATCGCACTGAAAGTGGTAGAAAACAACTGTATACCATTATTAGCACGGAAGGTTGACGGAAGAGCTTGAAGGAAGTAGAAGAGTATGAGGGATTATAAAAAGGCAGGTCACAACCAAATACTTCCAACGCAAATAGTCTAACAGGAGTTAATATAACGAGGTCTTAGAGATAAATCACAACCAAATCCCTCATTTTCACATCCAGGAATAATCTAAATTAAATTTTGCACTGTACGAGCTCCAACTCGGGCCAGCAGTCGTCAAAGGCACCATAAAAGACTGAAAGCAAGACACGACTAACTGTATTGTTCCATACTTACCTGTAAACCCGAATGTGGGAGTCTTTCGAACCACCTACGGAGTTGGCCTCCACAACACACTTTTAAACTCAACTGTTTAGGCGTGCTTGTAGGTAACGCAGTCATTTTATCAAAAAAATTGATGATAGAGAAAAAGGCGGTGTAGCATATTCCCTCAATTAATCACGAATTCGGGCGAAAACCAGATAAAACAGAAAAATAGAGCATAGTCAAGTAGGAGCAACCTACTTAAATTGGTTGCTAGTAGTACGCAAAACTACAAAGTTCTCTGAGGCTGTCACTATAACGCGCCACATAAAGCGCAACAAACAACACCAATTTTGCACTATCTTACTAGGCATAGCTTCCTCGCCAGGTTGAAGTCCACCAAGAGCACGGAGATCGGAAAGGTCTAACCGCCATCCAGAGTGAGGACGCCCGTCCGCGGGGGAATTTGGATCCAGCTGAATAGCCACATTCAACTTTCGTGGAAGCCAGTTTTCGCTCAGAGTGAATTTCAGCATCTGTACGCAGAGAATGTCGGGAAAGGTGACCAAGCGGGAAGAACGAAGTGCTGTAGTCCTTTGACCAGGTGGATCGGTGGCCGGAGAAATGAAATCTTGTATTGCTTCCTGAGCTGCCCAAGCTGAGAGACAGGCCTATTGAAATACGTGATTAGTACAAAGCCTTTGTTTACAATGAGTATTTTCTAACATCATTATATCAGAGCAAACTACTCGCCTCAATGCCAATTTTTAAGTAGACAGGATCCTCCTTGAACGGTGTCTTCGTCTTCTCTGCTTCACTTTTGCGCTTCTCGTAGGCGTCAAACTCGTCTCTGTTTGTTGCCGACTCCAGCGGAATCGGAAGGCAGAGAATTGTCTCCATTCGTTCCTTGTATTGAACCTGTTAAAGGAGAGAATGTGGGTTTTGGATCGGAAACTGATAGCTGAATGGACTCATCAACGAGACGGTTAGTTGGGATGATTGAGAAGAGAAAACGATTAGACGGCACAGTTCCATGGAGTGCTTAAAATGACGAAAGGAATAAGAGTATTGAAGAAGGGAGAGTTGAGGGAGGATTGGATGGCTGGTGAACAAATAGATAGAATTAGCATGAATGAGCGAAAGGAGTAATGGAGAAGCAAGCGATACTATGGATGAATCGACGAATTGACGAAAGAGTTTCCTTGCAGATAATTAAACAATGTATGCTAATTTATGAAGAGGTGCACGAACCTTGCCAGTCAATGCGCATTGGATGCGATCTTCCACAGCAAAGGAAAGCGAATGCAGAGGAGAAGGAGCGCCAATTGCCGAATTTTCACCCACCTCACGTTCCACCAGGTCAAAGAGGTGGACAAGGAATTCCTGTACATCTTGCTGCTGTTTAGTTGCAAACTC